TTTAGAATTTAGGAGTGGGGATAAGTTTCATCTGGGCCCTAGCTATCCATGCAAAGCGTAAGAGATTGGGGAAGGCCTGAATTGGTCTTCATGTCCAGCATGAAGGCTCAGGAACTAGAAAGTAGGGATACATTTTGGTTAGGCCCTGGCTACTTGTACAAGATATAGGAGCCCAAGCCCTATCATCCTTTTCCAAGAACAGAATTGTAAGTGACTCTAAACAATGGTGGGAGACCCCCCCTAACTTTGCTCATAAAGACCTATCAACTTTCATTTCCAGAACCCCAACTAGCGAGCCCCGTTCATCCTTACAGGTAGGCTCGACCTATGTCCATACGTTCAGCGACTGTTTGAAGTTACAGTGGTGCTGAAAAAATGGACTTACAACTAGTCTCCAAAGTTATGGCCACTGTAATGCCCCTGCAGTCATGTGATCAAAATTCAGGCGCTTGGCAGCCTGTCTGCACTTACAATCATAGAGGTGCTAGAACTCCACCCATCTATCTTGCCCCCCATTTCTGCCCTTTTGGCCGCCCTGCACCCTGCCTTGTGAGGCAGCAAGCAGCCCCAGAATTGTGCAGCTCTGGGGCTGCTTGCCATGCTGCAGCTCTGGGGCTGCAAGAAGCCCCTGAGGCGCAGTGTGAAGCCACAGCCACCCCGGAAACATCAGCTACCCACAAGCATTCATTCTCCCAGTTGCCTTCTCTCCCAGTTCCCCACACCAGCCTTTTGCCTCTAGACACCATGGTAGAAGCAGAAGTGCCTCGCTGCTTTTGTTGTCTCCTTTTCAGACCTAGCTTCTCCAGTGAACATTTCCTATATGTGGCTCTCTCAGCCTTTGGAAAGCTGTGCAGTCTTGGGGAAACTGCACTTTCTGAAGGCTTTCCAAAGACTCACTCACTCTGATGATGTTACCTAGTTGGGTAATGAAATGTCTGCAAGCAAGCAACCAAGCTCAGAGAACACCAAGGACTCCACAGCAAAATTCATAACAGATCTCTTTATGGATTGCCTACTGTTAGTATTAGAAGTGTTGGAACAGTGGACCTATGGCTCAGAGATTGGCAGATAGATGACCAATTGAAAGCCAGCTTGGGGAAGAAGCTGCTCAAAGAGGCAGTCAGATAGGAAGAAATCCTTGCTTATAGTTCTGAGGAAGGAGGAAAGCAGATAGATGTCCTGCAACTTGTTTTCATATCAAAGATTGAAGCCTCTACCTTCTTTTGGATAGGAAATAGACAAGGAAACACATGCTTGGGCTCTCAGACTCAACAAAGCACCCGTTGCTAAAAATGGTAAAGACCAAGGAAAATGCTCTTCAGCATGATGCTATTATTCCCAAGGGGTCATTCAGCTGCAGAAATTTTGGCACACCTGTCAGACCAAATGAGTGTTAGTGCCCAGCCAGAATATGCAATAGAGTTCATATGAATGAACATAACACATACCAAAACCAAAAGATATTTTCTCCAAGAACATCTCATGACAAATTGCATACCTCAAATGTCTTTATCATGTTTTTTTACGCTGCTGAAGAATAATAGATATTGGAGAGCCATCCTTAACTTTGGGTCCTAGAATAATCTTGTCAGGCATTGAAATTTTTAAAATGGAGATTTATTTATCAGTCAGTCAGTCAATCAATCATATTTATATAGCTGCCCATCTCACACAAGGTGACTCTGAGCGGCGTACAACAATTAAATTGAGATACTGATGGGTTTGTCAGAGGCTTACCTAAAGATCTCAGTCAGAACCTCCTACTTGTGGTTTCACAGGTTGCATACAAGAGCACTCTGTTTCAGTTCAGAGTATCCATTTTCAGGCTGGCACAGTCACCCAGTGTATTCATCAAAGTAATGGTAGCTCTTCTGGCCCATTTAAGAACACAGGTGTCCACATTTATATGTTGAATGCACTCTGAATCCAGGAAAGAAATGTTAGTATGCAGAAGGTCAACACTTATGAAGCTGGCAAGGTTACAGAGTAAGATGATTGCAGCACTGGACTTGGTCCCATGTGCCTGCCATGCTGCAGAGCTCCATAGTGGCCCCCTCTCATATTTCAGAATCAGATTACCAGCTGAACCCAGTTGCATATAACAGTGCCAAGCAAGGTAATCCAATCCCTGCATTAGTAGGGCCATAGTAGTCCCAGACAGCTTGGCAGAGGGAATGCCAGTCAGATCTGATCAGGAACCAGATGACCAAATATAATCTAAGGTGATGGGGAGCACACTTCCAAAGTAGGTCAGGACTTGTAGTGGATCATTTTTCCATTACAAGTCAACAGTGTTGATCAACAAACTAGAGCGGAGGAAAGGGAAAATGTGTCTGACATCTGCAGGATTTCTCAAGAATATGGGGATGCCTCTATATTGACTTGTTTGTGACAGCAGACAATAGGCAGGTGAAATGCTGCTTCTCTCAATTTCAAGACAATAGAACTGAGGAGATCAATGCTCTGATGGTACCATAGGTGAAAGGACAACTCATGACTTATACAGTGCTACCCAAGGTGCCATAGAAAATAAGCTGTTCACAGTATGGATAATTCTAGTCAAGCCATTCTGGACCAGGAGGCCCTGTTTCTCTCTTCTAAAGGAGATGAGAGAGGAAACTTTATAGCACTTCATGAAATGTTCAGACATCCTATCTCACGTTCTGGTATTGTACTGAAATTCAGAGTAGCAATAGCTAGGCACCTGAAAATTTAACGAAGCAAGCCTGAACCTGGATTCCTCAGGTTCAGCAGTGGAGACCAGCTTGGTCTCAGGGCCATGTTCTGTTAGTTGGTTTGGTACACCTTTGAATGATGATGCAAAAGACAGAAATCTTTGGCATTGACAACAGAGGTCCCTGAATTATTGGACTTTCTGTAGGAAGAGTTGGAGAGAGGGCTTGCAACTATCAGACTGCAGATGCAGACAGCTGCTTAGACTCAACTGTGTGGAACAAACAAATAGCACCTCCTTCAGACCTTCATGTTAATGAATTGCTTAGGGATGCATTTCTGTCATCCTCAGCGATCCACCATTTACTACATTGTACTCATCATTGGTACAGTATTCAAATTCTTAATTTTCCCTCAAACTCATTAGACAAAACCCCACTAACTTTCTTAAGTTTGCTTTTAGTAGCCCTAATCTCAGCTTGGAGGGATGGGAGATGGAATGCTCTCAGTTGGTGGGAGGTTATACATGTTCCGCTAGGACAAGGTTTCTTGTCCATATCCCTGCTTCATGCCTAAAGTGAAGTACCTAATTTCATTGAGCACAATAAGTTTTCCAACTTATTGATTCAAGGTAGATGAGCTCAGGCTGTTAGGATCTAACACACAATGTACATTACAGTGCTGTAGAAGCATGAAAGGCTGATAATTTGTCTCTTACATACAAGGTAGCAATGGAAATTTATTTTCCTCTCCACAGTTAACAGTGGGAAAATGTCCTGTTCTGGTCTTTTCAGCCAGCAAAACACTGCTCCCTTCCTGTGTCTCAGCTCTGCAAGGAGCAATTATGTTAGCAGGCTTAATGCAGAAGGACAGTTAATAGAAATTAGTGTGGGACAGAGCCACCTATCTTTAAAAACAATTCAAAAATAGATGAATTCCCCTCCTCAGATCCAGATTTAGCTGCACTGGTCACAAAGAATTATATAAACTCTTCCACCTTGGAAATACTGTTGAAGTATCTCCCTTTTTCTGCCTGCTCAATTTCTGGTGACCAAGGTCAATTGAACTTACTGTGGAGTACCTTACTGGTCACAGAAAGATGAACCATATTTAGGAGAGGAAGTAGATTAAGGGAGTATCCAAGTAGCAAGATGTGAACGACTTTACTGCACTATGCTGACTGTAATATGTTGTTCTTCCATTCCCATGTATCTTACCAGTTACAAGTGGAATACATGATAAAGGAAGAGTTGAACCACACACAGTTGAAGTCAGTACACACAACTGAAGGGAGGGGTTTTCCTCCATGGAACAGGAAGAAGTCTTAAGCCCCGCCTTCTAGCTACATGAGGTGGAGTTAACCTTTTTTCGGTTGGGTCCATCTTCTGGTGATCAAAAAGGTACTTCACAGTAAGTCCAACTACTGTTCCACACTTTAAATGTTTTGCAGGTTCCATGTGTAAATTTAATTTATCTTTTATGTAGCTTAGTTTGTGTGGGTTTACCAAGAAATACAAAGAAAACGAAAGGATTCTCTACACTATACAACACTAGGGAGACCCAGATTCTATTCTATCCTTGTCCGTAGAAGCTACTGGGTGACTTTGTACCAGTCAGTCTCTTTCAGCCCATCCTATCTCACAGATGGTTATTGTGGGAAAAACAATGGGAGGAGAGGCCACTATGTTCACTGCTTTATGCTCCTGAACAAAAAGGTGGGATATAAATTTAAATAATTATAATAATAACTATGATGATGGAGATTGATGGATGAATAACATGGACAGATACTTCTGAGCATATATGTAAGGTGATCTCAAGTATTTATTTTTATTTTATTTATTTATCGTATTTATATAGCCGCCCATCTCACATAAAGTGACTCTGGGTGGCATACAACAATTAAGTATGCTACTCAGAAGCAAATTTCAGTAAATCAATGGTACCTGTTAGTAAGTTATGTTTAGGATTCTGTAGCATTCTGTGTAGTAGAAATTAGAGTTACAGGAATTGTTATGATTAAATGAGCTACATGTGAGTGAAGAGAAATATTGCTTGTGTGAGACAAAATATGGAAATCTTAGGCTTGATTATGTTTTAGTATGTTATGTCAGTACTGTAGAAAAAAATTGGTACTTAAGATTCTTTATAATCCTTTTATTGTTAAACTTCTAGAAAAATATGTTTGGAAATTGAATCCTAGAATAATTGTGAAACTAGAATTGAAATGTTTTACTTGGAAATCCAGATTATCATCCACAGTCACCAACAGATTAGCTCATTTGGTTCTCTTTCTGCTGCTATTGACTTTTTTATTCTTCCTGTAGGCTCCATGAAGAAATAATTGATTTTTATGACTTTATGTCCCCGTGTCCGGAAGAAGCAGTTATGAGACGAGAAGTTGTGAAAAGAATAGAAACTGTCATCAAAGATCTTTGGCCTACAGCTGATGTAAGTTTACCTCAAGTTGGTATTCTGTGCTCCATTTTAATTTAATTTTGATCCCACATGTTTTTAATTTTTAATTTTAGACATTTCTAGGAATTAATTCAACACAGATACTTTTCTTTTCCAGGTTCAGATATTTGGAAGTTTTAGTACAGGGCTTTATCTGCCAACAAGGTGAGTCCTGCAATTTTTTACTAATACTGTTGGTTCTAATATTATGTAACAGTAGTGAAAGGGATACATGGCACCTTACAAAAATTGAGATGCATATTACCAATTATCAATACAGGAAAAGGAGGGAAATTGAACAGCAATAAAACACAGAGAAGAAAGAAGGCAATTATTGCATTTACATTAACTTACGGTTATTGCAATATTGTATCTTTTTAATATCTCTTTAAAATTGGCATAGCTGAAGACGTCTTATTTAACCCTGGTTTAATATTAACTAAGTATTGATTCTTCAGGTTTAGCTGCAAACCTGAAAAATCTGTTAAATTGTTCAACGTATTAGAGTATTGTATCTCTAGATATGCTAGCATTTCTAATTTACCATATTTTGTACAATAGTGTGAACCTATAGAACATTAATATTTTTCTACAACTTTCGGATACAAAAAAACTATGAACAATTAACTCAGATATGAAAGAACTTCTAAATTAAACTTTATTTTTTAAAAACAGAAATATCAGTATTAGCTCTTGTGGATGTTTGTTTTAGGCTGAGGCTCTGAGGTAATGATTTTGCAACGTATTAACCTCTATATCTGCCTTCCCCAGCCTTGTGCCCTCCAGATACATTGGAATAGGACTCCTAACAACCCAAATGTCTGGGAAATGAGGAAATTATAGTCCCATGTGACTAAAGAACAACACGTTGAGAAAGGCTACTGCATAGATTACACTATTAAAATTCTGATTTGGAATGAATAACCAGCAAGCATTGGATTAAGCATTGTTAAATAGATGAGGTAGTGTATATGGACTGTACAAGCCATTAGAAAGAGGTGTTTTGCAACATACATTAGTGTTACCAAAGCATCAGTCTTCCAATTGTTAAAGCATTGTTGATCTGCATGTAGATACAGCTGAAGACAGCTTCTGAAGCAGCTTACAAGCTTTACAAAAGACTTGGCTGCTTTGATAATTCAGAGAGATACTTTGTATGTATTAATAGGTTCTGAACTATCTTTTTAAAATTATGTTATTTGCCTGCTTTTCAAAGAACTATTGTATAATGCCTAAGCTTCTAATAAACTTTGGCTGTGTTTTATATCTATAGTGATATTGATTTAGTAGTCTTTGGAAAATGGGAGAGCCCACCTCTACAGCAGCTAGAACAAGCGCTAAGGAAACACAACGTGGCTGAGCCATATTCAATTAAAGTACTTGACAAAGCTACCGTAAGTAATTTAAAGCAAGTTATCCTCACAAGTTATTGAGGGAAAGTTACATTATCAGCCATGTTTATTTTTTACTTTGGTTCACTGTTTGCTTGTTTACATTGCGTTTTTGCCAGTTTCCCCAACTGCAGTTTAATACTGTAATGTGTATTGTGTGTGAAAATATTCTTCCCAGTTGCCTTCAGTTTTCCTGTCTTCCTTATTTGTTGGCATTAGATGTAAATTAACTCATCTCATTTGTTTTCAAACCATTTGAACATTTGGCCTGACAAAGAATGCCTAGAATTGATTACTTAATATTTAAAATGTGCATTTTGAGTTCTTAATGCTTGCTGAATAATTGTATATGTGATAAATCTTTATTTTGAAACACATTTTGGACACTGTTGTCCTTTTGTATTTGTCGTTTTAAACCTGAATTAAAGTCCTGGTAACATCGCTGATAGATGATGTGACCAGCTTTGCTGGTGTTGACATTTGAAGATTTCTCTTCGCACATGTTAAGCTGTCTTTAGCTTGTGAGTCATAACTTCTTTTGCATAGGTCGAAACTTCATTAAAGCATCTAGTCTGCATGCTGCCTCTATTTTATTGTACCCGTACAGCTTCACTTCTTCCTTTATTAACGTGTCATTTTCCTCTCAAGTAAGAGAGCAAAAGTAACATTTCCCTTTTGCTTTAAATCTCTGATATTATCAGTAGACTTCAGAGCTTCAGTATGTTACTTGAATTCTACGTAAACAGATACACATGCTGTTTTTAGACCAGTACATTGCTGTAAATGAGATAGAGTTTAACAACCTAAACTTAAATGCACTTGGAAGTATATGCCATTGATGTGAATAGATCTGTGAACATTCCATGCCCAAGATACCAAATCTCTGGTTTTATTTTAAGAAACCTTTTTAGATTTGCTGCTATAAGCAGATGGCTCTCTGGTCCTGCTATTACACTGGAGACAATAACCAAAAATGCATTTACTGGAAGAAAATCTTGCAGGGCATGAACCCTGGCTGCCACAGGAAAAAAGTTCTCCCTCTACTTCTTACCTATTACATCTCAGTGGTGTAGGATCCTGAATTAAACTATCCTATCAAGAGGTGAATAACAATAGGCTTGTGCACAAAAAAACTATTCTTTGGATTATTAAGTTCTGAATTATTTGGCTTTTAAAGAAACAATCAGCATTTTCAAATTTAGTTCAGAAATGGACTGGAAATCTGTGCAAATGAAATTTCAGTTGAATCACGTGCTCTGCAAAATTAGATCAGATTAGAACATTTGAAGTAAATGAAAGCAAAATGTTTTCTAACACTTTTTGAAGGCATGCCCAAGCATGTTATGCTAGAAAATAGTCCAAGTAAATGATTGCTGTAGCCTTTTCTAGAAAGGGGTGCAGGTAGTATCCATCTTAGCTGAGCAGAAACATAGGAACAACTGCTTCTTGGCCATCTAGTAAATAATAGATACAATTTAAATCTTAAGAATTTTTTCATGGCTTGATAATAATGACTTCATCACCTTTGCCAAGATGAGTTCATAATGCAGTCTGCATTATGAAATAGTACTTCATTGTTTTCAACACTGCACAAGAGCCTGTGACTCTTTTCTTCTTTTAAAGTGCCAGTGACTCTTCCATATTAAAGAAATGGCAACAAAGGTTAAATGAGTAGTTGCCACTGGCAGTGACATATCTTGTAATATGTATACAGTGTTAAGTAATGGAGGCTGCATACTATAATGGAACCCACCATATTAGGATCATAATAGACATTTAAGTTAGCAAGATCTCTTGGCATCTGCAACACTAGTATGAGAGAATGAAGGAATACTAACGTGCATATTTATTGAATTTGTATACCACCAACTCCTACCAGACTCAAGGCAGTTCACAACATAACATGCAAGGTAATAAAAAAAACACCCATGGTACAAAATTTATAATATATAAACATAATAACAATAAAAAGCAACAACAATAAATGAGTTATAAAAAGAGTTTTATAACATTTATTATAACAAAACAATAAAAACAGTTATTCAGTGGCAAACAATCATTCCATAAATGCCCATCTTATGGGTAGCTATACCTGAATAGTTAGTTAAAAGGATGAATTAGATTTATGTTTACATTACATCTTATATTAGCTGTGGGTTAACAAATGTAAAATGTGCTGTCTAGAAGAATTGGATATTTTAAATGATTTAAAACAATAATTACTAACTGCAAATGTCATATTAATTATTGATGTCCACTGAATGATTGGTTTTACTACTTTTGCAGGTACCAATAATTAAACTTACAGACCAGGCAACAGAGGTGAAAGTTGATATTAGTTTTAATGTAGAAACTGGTGTGAAGGCAGCTCGACTTATCAAAGACTACATGCAGGTATAGTAGGCAGAACAAAAAAATTGATATGTCTTGATCTTTGTACTGCTTTTAGAACTGAAATTTGAAAATTGCAAAATATTGTTAACAGATTGTGGGCTGTTTTATTTATATCTATGTTAAATGCCATCTGGAATATCAGAGAGCAGATACTGATGGATTATATACTTCATGATCCTTTTAGAAAATATCTTTAAGAACTCTCTGAAATACTTCCCCACATTTGCTCATATTCTGCAGAATTTTTAGCTATATATTTGGAAATAGAACATTCAGATCGAATATAAAATGTAGTAATGCAATCAAACATTTTAGACTCTTTCTTTAGACATAATGGGCATCTTAAAATTTTCTTGGCTGAAGTTTTGATAACCACATTTTAAGCCCTAAATTTGTGGCACCAAAAGAGTGTACAGGATCCTGAGAAATTATATGGCATGTGTTGTGCAGGTTTTGTGAGATTTCTTTGCTTTCTATCAGACCTATTGCATCCAATTCCAAGCTGTCAAAATAATTGGCATGATTAACCCTCTCTAAAGTTTCTCCAGTCCGTAAATCCTGGGTAAAGTATCAACATGATGACAAAAGTAGCAGAATTTATGGCAGACGTCTCTTTGTACTATTTGTATAAAGCTTTTGAAATTGTGGCTACAAGAGCCTATGGCTCAAGCATAGCTGTTGATCCTTCAGATGCTCATGTCCTAGTCCTTGATACATTATCAAGAGACTCATGAGAAGCAAACCAGGTTGAAAAGCAGAGTACATTCAGATATATTCTAGGACTATAGATTGGTAACTGCTGGAAGCAGTTCATCAGAATTACTCAGTCAAATTGAGTTTCATACAAAGTGTTCCTAGTTGTTTTCCACATCCTGGAATCCAGACAAATACTGTGACTGAAGTCTTACTTAGGCTTGCTCTCCTAGGAAAATATGGGATTGGAAAAATGGAAATATGTCTTTTTGCATTTAACAGCACATGTGGCTATAACAAAGAATCTAGCTCTATGTGCAGTTGCTTTCACATGAACTAGAATCCTCTACTCTTAGCGTTCCAGCTCTTGTGGAACCATTCATATATAAATTGGTAACATGCATGAGAAACAAAAAAAAAAAAGATGATTTTCTTTTTCCAGGAAAGCAGACAAGGTAATTAGCTTAACATGTATTGGTGAAAGTCCCATTTTTCTAGTTTAGGTCCAGAGTGCAACAGTAGCCCATATTGGCTTAGGTTTTAGGCAATCATTAAACTAAGAGCAATTAGCCTAGCTTGGCAAGCATGCAAAAAAATATCCATCACACCAATATTATGACAGACAGTGTGACTATCAAAGATCAGTCAGTATCAGTATATGGTTAGGTTTACACATCGAGGTAAGCCAAAATCAAACAAACTACATTATGGTTTCTTGCAGTGTATGAACCCTGCTGTGGTTTGTAGTTAGCATTATTTATGAACCAGTAATTCAGGCTTATTCAATAAACTCTGCTTAAAAATAATACCTTAGCAAGATTGTGAATCCAGCCTGTGTTTGTCAGTACATTTATTAGATGTTGTAACTCAAAATTTGTGCTCCTGCTACTGAAGCTAATACAGGTAGTCCTTGCTTAGCAACCAGAATTGGGACCAGCAACTGTGTCACTAAGCCCCACAGTTGCTGAGCGAAAAATCACGTGACTGCAATGAGCTTATGACCTTATTTCCCCTTTGGGCGTTAAGCAAAGCACTGTGGTCACTAAGCAAAAAATCACATGACCACAACTTACAGTTTTACTTCTGCCTTCTCTGTTGTGACTCTGCTTGTCACAAAGCAGTTGCAAAGCACATGAATGGCAATCACATGAATGTAGGAGACTGACAGTTGTAAATGCAAGGATTGATCATAAAGGTTTTTTTTTACATCATCATAACTTCGAATCATTGCTAAATGAGGCAGTTGGTAAGCGAGGACTACCTGTAAATCTAGGAGCTCTATATTCAAAAAAATATATATACAGAAATATATGTACTTATATTTATTTGCGTATTAATGAACAGAGATAATTATTTGCTTAGATGTTCTTATAAGAATAGTTGTTCAGTCATAGATTATTTTGTAAGTCACACCTGCTTAACTGTAATATGTGCTGCCTTTTTTCTTCTGCTTGGGTTTTGAGAAGTGATCTTACTTCATGTTAATGTTCAGTTTGAAAGCAAGTTCCTGCTGTTAGAATAAACAGAATAAATTTTCTGTGTCTACAGTTTGTGTATGTATAAAAGTTTGCTTGCCATTTAGTGATCTTGTTCAAGCAGTATAAGATTAAGAACATTTTCATATGTTCACAGTGGTGCCTTGATTTTTTTATCTTGTGCTTATTTTTTCTTTTATGTCTTTGTACCATATAGTTATGTGACATGATATTTGTAGCAACTGCTTTAATATTTGTATTTTTGGTATTAATAGTTTATTAAATTTTAATGAGTGAAACCATTGCCCATTCTTATAAGGAAAAATATGTAGATAATAAACATTTGTTATTTTATTTGCCCAACTGTTGTTGTATCTGGTATATTATTTTGGAATGAGTTCCTTTGTATTCTTGGTAAATAATCTTAAGCACAATTGTTTCTGTATAGAACTGACTGTGTTTTTCATTTGCAGAAATACTCATTGCTGCCTTACTTGATTTTAGTATTAAAGCAGTTCCTTCTTCAGAGGGATTTGAATGAGGTTTTTACTGGTGGAATTAGCTCCTACAGCTTAATTTTAATGGCAATTAGCTTCTTACAGGTATGTTGTTTTCCATAAGTATCATTTTAAAAAAGCCATGTGTAAGGATATTTGCTGTTTTCTTTATTTATGTGACTTTTTGAGAAATAAAAACTTGTTATTCTGTAAAACGTCATCACAAATCTTCTAAGAATACAGATAGAGTTTGTGGAGTACTGTAATGTCTTCTTTAACACTAATTAAATTTTCACTTAAATGCTTGTTTTGGTTGGCCGATATATTTTATATAAATAAGTGAATCTAATTTATTACATTGGACTATCTGTAATTATTTGATGATTGATTGTGGCATGTCATTCTTTAAAGAGTCCTCTGTCTTTTATTTATAACAGAAATGGACAACTTTCTAGGGCCCAAGAGCTGCATTTGGTTTGACTGAGAGTTTCAGTTTGCTGTCATAAACTCTTAGCAGCTGTGGCAGTATTGTCATAGTGGACCAGTTTAATGAAAGCATATAAAATATTAAATATATGAATACCCATCAAAACATGGCAAAAGGTATACTTTTTGAAACAGCTCTTAAGCTGTTTAAGTTAGGGACAAATATCTTAAATAGCATCACAGTAGATTTCATGAAGAGAAGACTGTACAAGCTATAAAAGGATATGGATGGGTTGATTTGTTATTCATGTTCCAATATTTTAGAATACTTTAAAATTCTGTAATGATTAAACTGATGTAAGCTAATGAATGTGTAGAATGGATTTACTGAAATCAATCAACATAAAGTAGTATTGACTAACCTTTCATTTCAGTGGGTTTATTCTGAATGCATGTTAGTTTTGATCTAATCCAACTGCCCTAGTACTACATTTACTCAAAAGACCTTGAATTTAAGAAGCCTCAGAAAAAAAGAACAGACAAAAAAAGTGTAAACATTGAAAACATCCGGTGTGATGCCCATTTCTTCACTTTGTTGATCTAGAATTGTCAGTTGCAGCCAGAATGTGGCACACCTGTATATGTGTATGCATATATGTTCTTTGCCAATAGTGTTAATTTTAAAAAACCCTTTCTGAGCCATACTCCAAAAAGGTGGGGGCGGGGAGGGCAAGAGCCACAACTGGTTAAAATGCATTGGCTAAAAAATAAAGTACCCTACTAAAACTTTGATTGCCCATCTGCAAATAGTAAACCATCCCCTCTATACATATAAACCACTGTGACCCACAAATACATATTTCCATTTTCTCCTAGCAGAAATGGCAAAAAGGAAAAAAAGGTGGAGATGGGGTGAGGAGAAGAGGTAATTGGCACATCAGAATGGATTAAAATTCATTAAGTGAGCAGCGGGCTTGAGTCCCATTGGTCAAGAATTTATTGGTGACAGCAATTCTTCAGAGGCATTCCCACTACTTCTTTGCAACCATTTGTACCTCATGCTAATTCCTTCCTTTCAGTAGTAGTTTCTGTTATCAGAGAATGTAATGCAGTCTTCCCATCCACAATTTATAGATAATTATTTTCTTGTTGGGTAAATATAGTACCTATTTTGGTATACTGGTAATACTACTTTTGGTTTTTAGTATGTATATTAAGTGTGAGAAATCTGTAATGCACTAGAGGTTCCACATCCTTGATAAATATCAGACATAGCGTAATATCCATCGCATCTTCTTCCAGGTTGAGGACTTTTATTCTTTAAAATGTGGGGATGAGGTGTGGCAGAATCAGATTTCTGCAGTGGAACATTTGTTCTCTAAGAAAGTCATATAAAGACATTTTGTACTTTTTTAACACTGACAAATGCTGTCGTCTTGCAATGTAAAAAAAAAAGCTGTTAAAAAATTAAGGAAGAATTACTTTTAGCTGAAAATATATAAATACCACCTGCTGTGCATGAAAATAAAATTGTGTAATTTTCATTTATCATAGTTGCACCCAAGAATTGATGCTGGAAGATTTGATGAAAATCTAGGAATGCTTCTAATAGAATTTTTTGAACTCTATGGAAGGAATTTTAATTACTTAAAAACTGGTATTAGAATAAAAAATGGAGGTGCCTATATTGCCAAAGAAGAAATCATGAAAACCATGACTAATGGATATCGACCATCTATGTTATGTATTGAAGATCCTCTTCTGCCTGGTGAGATGACATAAGCTGCTTTATGTAATTTCTATTGATAATACAGAACCCAGAAACTTTGGAAGAAATGTTTAAAAGGATACTCTTAGATCTTGTTATGCAACATTTGTTTATTACATTTACAGCATGTCTGTTTTGGGAGGGGAGGGGACTGAAGGCAGCATCTATGGGAGTTATTCTTTATTTTATCCTCACAAGAACAAAGCTGTGAAATATTCACTGGACTCAGTTTTCTTCATGGTTGAATGGGACCTTGACTCGAATCCAGTCTAACTATTAATCTTAACTACTACTTGTAGTGTTCTTTCCCCTATTCATTTGAGGGATGTAACTTCTAGGAAAGATGATAGAAAGCTGTATATGCCCACTCCTCATTTAGCTACTACTTTAGTTAGCAAGCATTCACAAATACGACAGTAATAAAAAAAAATAATTTTCCGACCAATGTGCATGTATATGACCGGATTTTGTGTGCCTGACAAGAACATATGCCAGAGTGAGAGTAACGCTGGCACATTTATCTGAATGAGATGGCAGCAGCCAGTAATCTTTGCAGCATCCCTCCCTCTCCCTCTCCCTCTCTCCCTCTCTCTCTCTCTGTCTCCCTCTCTCTCTCTTTCTCGTTAATGGAAGAATGGAGTTAAAGTTTGATATTTGTACTCTGGGCTAGATTAATCATTCAAATAAGAAAAGGAACATAATGTACAACCCTTGTAGCTCAAACTGCATTGATACAAAGGAGTATTGAAATACTTCTTTAGAATTGTACACAGAAAACAAAAACTTGTTTCCAGCTGAATCCCAAGCACATTCATCCTGATCAAGTTAGGACAAATGTTTATAGAACAAATTAACAATTTTAGATTTGTCTGGGGTGGTTTCATAACTTCAGAGAATTTTGGTAAGTGTTAGGACAGTGTGTATTCTCAGTATTGTGAATTAGAATACTAATCTATAACAAGACTATGCAACCTGGTTTCCCTTCAGATGTTTTAGACAATTCTTATCAGCCCCAATTAGTCTTGCCATAGCAGAGTACTGTGGAAGTTGAACTCTGTAAGACTTGGAGGTACCAGATTGCCTAGCCCTAAACCAGCCTCTGTTTTTTGATAGATCAAGTAAGCCAGGCTAGTAGGACCTGAACATGGCCCAGTGCTATTTTCTGCCTAAGTGATGTTGTTTAAATAGTTTAGGTTTGGATTGTTTATTGTGTAGTTCCACAAAATTATCAGATAAGCTGTGCAGTTACATTTTTGTTATTACAGCAATTGCTTTTCTATCCATAGGCCAAAGAATAAGTAAAACATAAATGACCTAGTAACAAAGAAATAGCTCTTGTTATAATAGGAGACTGTGGATTGAAGGCTTGAAGATAGCTTTCTTGGTATGGGAGGACTTTCTTGGAAGGCACTGAATAAATAAGTAGCCAGATTTATATGTGAACGAACTTTATACATAATATACAGATTTGACCTAAGGTGTATGGCTGTATATCTGTAAGCTGCCTAGAATTGTTCTGGAGTTTTGCAGCTTCTAAATCAAATTAAATCAATTAAAAAAAATAGCTAGTATAGACATAAGCTGCTTAATATTGAGCTCCCAAATCCAGTGAAGAACAAAAATGATATGGTTGGTATTACTCATTCTTCTTTCAGCTTTAAAGAAAGGTAGATAGAAAATGAAAGCTGAAATGCAGCAAACTGTTATTTTAAAAAAGTACCAGTTCTACATGTCAAACAACAGAATGGGGGGATCAGGCACCAGTCAGTACATATGCTCATGCACAAAGAATACATATCTCTCCTTGAAATGTACTGCATATTCCAAGGGTTTTAAGCATTACAAGTACAGGCGAAAGCAATTTGGAGTCAACTGGATAACGAGTGTGATTTTTAAAAATTTGACTATTACAGGCAATGATGTTGGAAGAAGTTGTTATGGTGCCATGCAAGTAAAGCAAGTTTTTGACTATGCTTACATTGTTCTAAGCCATGCAGTATCACCACTTGCAAAATCATATCCTAATAGAGATTCAGAAAGGTAACTATTTGCGATTGTGTTCATTGTATGGGCTGAAGTATTACAGCCTTGTAAAAACCAAAGGCTGCATGTGGGCTTTGAGTGGCATGCCAGGTGCTGCAGTTAAAAAAGTGGGCAGGCCAGTAGAAGTCCTGAGGTTTTTGAGTACAGTGGAACCTCGAGTTACGAATTTAATCTGTTCCGTGACTCTGGTTGCAACTCGAATTGGTCGCAACACGAGACAAATTTTCCCATAAGGTTTAATGTAATTACCGTTAATCCGTTCTGGCGTCCGCGGACCACGCGGCAGGGCGGAAAAATGGCCGTGGACCACATGGAACGGGCAGAAAAATGGCCGTGGACCACATGGAACGGGCGGGAAATGGCCGTGGACCACGTGGCACGGGCGGAAAAACAGCCGCGGACCACGTGGCAGGGCGGAAAAATGGCCGCGGACCACGTGGAACAGGCAGAAAATGGCCGTGGATCTGGTTCGTAAGTCGAGGCGAGTTCGCAAGTTGAGGTAAATGTTTGGGGCCAGAGCTGGTCGTATCTCGAAAAATTCATAAGTAGGGGCATTTGTAACTAGAGGTACCACTGTAGTACATTTTTAAGCTTTAAAATATAAATCTTTAAAGCCTAATCAGAACTCAGTGCCCATTGCACTGCCAAAATTTGTAAGTATGAGCAGAGGAGGAAGTCTGAGTACTGTAAAGAAGGATTCTGAAGAATGTATTTAGATTCCGCTCAGAGTCACTTCTTTGTGAGATGGGTGGAATCTAAATTTGAAATTATGTATGTATGTATGTATGTATGTATATTTAATTCAGTTCTGTGGCTATATATTACTTATTCTATTGTAAGACAGCACCCTGGAAAGAAGGGCTAATATCAGTTGCAAAAACTGAAATTGCCCCTGAATGTGTACAAATTCTTTTTTTATCTTAAAGAAAAAAAGTTTCTTTGCTCTTATGTTATCCATAGTGAAATTCAAAGTAAAAAAAATAAATTGCTTCACTGCTATGTTTTGATTTATCAAAATTTAGTCAACATTTCTTCTAGTACTTTAGGAAGAATTATTAAAGTGACAGAAGAAGTGATTGACTACAGAGCGTGGATTAAAAAAAAATGGGGAAACAAAGCTAACTTTTCATCAGATCTTGGTAAGTAAATATATTGATCCTAAAAAATACATTTCAGATTTTTTTAAATCATACTTTTCCAATTCTTATTTTCTTATCCTATGTTTCAATTCTTACTTTGTTCCTAGGCTACCTCTATGGCTTCCCCCAATGCTTTGTTATGATTTATTGATAAAAACATGTGAATCCACATCTGGCACAACCTATGATTCCTGATTTTAATTTGTTAAAATTAACAAAGTACACACTGTAATTTATTTCATTGTTACATCAACCTTAAACATCTTTGATACAATATCAGTGCACAAACATTAATCAGCAATGTTTTGTGCAATAAAACTAACAAAACTGTAAAGCGAACAAAACTCGAAACAGAGCTGTACTTTTTTTAAGTGAAAAGGAAATGTGTTGACATATAAACATGTATGTGCTAATAGGTGTTCAGTTGAAAGAGAGAGAACCAATACCTCCAGAGAGTGCAACCCAGAATAGAGATACTGAAATGCTTTACAACCAACCTTTGACTTTGTCATTTACTGATATGCAACAATTATCATCAGGCTCATCTGCCTCTTCGGTGTCATCTCTTTCCGGCAGTGATGTTGTAAGTTTTATCTTTTTTCTGTTTAAGCTGTTCTCTACATACCTGTGAAAGTTAATACAGCATCTGAATAAGATTACAAACTATTTTATAAGAATACAAATGCAAGGTAAGATTACAAACATTATTGTAATATTCATATTATTGAAACACACATAAGCTTGAAATCACTGTTCCTGTTAAGCTTTCTCTAAATTTGTGTTAAATAATAGATAATCTATCTAGAAACGTAACCAATATATTACCATAAGTAAATGATCAGAAAACTGATTTGAAACCATTATTTCAATTAATGTGAAGATTTTAAAGAATTACTCAGAATGAGATTATATTAGTTTAAAAAAAAATTAAACCTTTTTTTCTTTTTCATTATTTCTATTTTAATCTCATGTTTATGATTTTACTCTAAAATGTTTTCTAGTTTTTAAAAATATTTACGAGTGCGAAAACAATTACACAGAAATTTAGCAGGTCCTTAAAGGCGAAGAGCTACAAAAGAAAACAAAAAAGCCCAGATAAATTGTGCCTTCCACACATATAGTTATATCATGACTGCTGACTGGAGCATAGCAAGTAGTACACACTATAAAAATTGCTCACTAGCTCAGTCTTGGTATGAAAAATCAGTTGAAGTTCTACTTAATCCAGAAGAACAGCAACTGGGTAGTGTTAGGAACTATTTATTCGAGGCAGTTATTTAATTTATTTTGATAGTGTAGTAATGGAGGGTCAGAAACAGTTATTTTTCCAAAATATTTTCTCTCTGATCCTCCTCTAGAGAGATTATTTCTGTAACATATGTCCAGTGCAAAATCATGCACTGCCTCCTCTCTTCACATACAATCACTCAATACAATCATTCGGACAATAACATGCTCAGCTAATCTTTTAAAACAAGTAGGCATTTCTTTTTTTGAATCCCAGATCTCACAGGAGATATAATATCTATGGAGATTTATGCAAGATTCATGCCTCAGAGGAAGAACTGATCTCAGGCCAAAATTATTGATTTAGGGTTTTTCCAAGGTACATCTGTTGTACAGTCTTCCATATTTGTAGCATATATCCTCTGTGTTAATCCAAATGTTTTTCCAGGAGAATTCAAATCCTAAATTGAGTAAAAGGCAGCTTTCTGACTTATTTCAGTGACAGTACTTTCTGTTATTTGAATGTGTCATCCCAGGTTTCTTTTGTTTTATAAAATAAGATAAGATAAAATCTGTTTTATAAAATAAAATCCCATATTTTCTCCTTTTATGTAACATCAAGGATTCTGATACTCCACCTTGCACAACTCCTAATGTGTACCACTTCAGTCTGCAAGCACCATCTCCACTTACGGCTGGATTACATCCAGCATTAACTATGCCAAGTGGTAAAAATCAGTCTGTGCCTGCAAGAGCGTTGATTGTGGCAACAAATAATCAGGTATGTGAAAAATTCCCTTTGTTTTAATTTGCTCAAGCAAGCATTTTGAAAATAATAATAAACCAGAACAGCACCTTAAAGAAAAAAATATTGAAGTAGATTAAAAGATAGCAATTCTTAGAATTAAAATTATTGAAATAGATTAAAAGATAGCAATTCTTAGGATTAAAATTATTGAAATAGTTTAAAAGATAGCAATTCTTATAAAAACAAATTTAAATAATTCATAATATAGAAAACCCCAAAAAGCTTGTTAGCTAGGGTAACTAACAAGCATTTTAAATATTAACCACTCTCCTGGAAATTTCAGGATTCATAGATGATTTTTAGATCAAGTGAAAAGTTCCTTCAGAAGTGTATTAGATTTGCCAAGCTATAGTTCTAAGAATATCCTGCTAAGAATATCCAGAAAAATTGGATCAAGCTAAAAAACAGAAAAGTTCCAATGGATATGGGAAGAATATTCAGCCAAGAATATTGAAAGAGACAGTGATCTAGAAGCTGCCAAAATATGACAGCACTACTTACTCATCTAATACATAATACTCATTTTCCAAAGGAATGTGTTTGTATTTACATGCGTATGTGTGAGGACGGACATGCACACACACATGGAATACCAAAAAGCATCTTTCTGACAAGATTTCTTATTACTAATTGAATAAAAAATGTTCATCCCACTTACAATTGATTCGATATTGTTGGACTAGATGGTTAATAATTTATTGCTCTCTGACCTTTTTAATTGCTCCCCTCTTCCAGATTTCTTATCAGAAACCAAGAGACATACATATGTCCAGTGTTTCTCTTGGAAGAGGAGAAGATGGTCATGTCAACTTTATAATTTTAAATCTATAATTCAGCCATCAACTGGAGATTTGGAATGCTTTAAAAATAGAAAATAAAAATAAAAACCAAATAAAAAAGATGAAAGCATGTTAATAAGCACTATTATTGTTCTGTACTTTGATGGTAAATAAATGCTGTCTTGCAAAGATATGAAAGTGAAATATAATTCAAGTCATCTATCTACCATTAAGGAAAGATTCTCCCTGATAGAATATGAATCTAATACAACTGTAAGGCACAAGTCATGAAAATATGTGTACCAGCCAGACCTGCTAGCTCATGAAATGTGTTATCCTGGAAGCACAGTTAGCGATGTAGGATGTGATAGAGCAGCTGCCCGGACTCATCAAATCCACTGCTTCATCCATGTGGGGATAAATAAGACTGCCAAAAGAAGCCATAACCATATCATCTTGGACTTCAAAACACTAGGAACAAAGCTGAAGAATCTGGGAGCTCAAGCTGTTTCTCATCCATCTGTTCAAGTCCATAGAAGAGTGACCTGTAAAAGATCAATACTCAAAGTGATTGATTGATTTTGGGAATGATGTTGATAAGAGAGATTGATTTCCAAGACCATAGTTTGTACTTTCTAGAGGATAGAGTGCTGGCCCAAGATGAATTAAAATTCACAAATGTAAAGAATGTGTTTGGCAGGAGGATTTAAACTGAATCCTGTGGGAAATGGAGATGTAGATCCAGAAAATTTTAAGATAAGTACTTGTGTATAGTAGTAGGCTGGAGAAAGTAACTACTGAAGACTATGAAACTGCTCAGTGAAAAATCAGGAAGGACATAGAATCATAAAATTCAAGGCTTTTGTTGTCAGTACAGTAATGTTCATAGTGTAAGAAATAAAAAGCTGGGTTATTATAGGAAGATAAAATATGACATACGTATGCAAAAGCCATCATGTTATTTCCTGTAACTTACTTAAATTAATGTTATGCAAAATGAAGAAAAGTAGTAAAAAATGATAAGTCAAATAAATTAAACACCTGAGATAATAAAAAGAAAGGACACACAACTAAATGTAGTTTACATTCATCAAATTTAACTTAGGTTTCCAAAATTTTGACATCCCCTTAAGTACCGTTTTTACATTTCTGAATTTTATTGTCTTCAGTGTTCTCCCTTAATTTCAGGACTAATAAGTACCTCTTAATTTATGAATATGTTTGCCAAAATTACAGATTATTGTGTGGTGCTACTTCAAGTAAATTTGCATTTCTCTCATTCATATGAGAGAGTAAAAATTAGAAATGCAGTTATAAATCTTTCAAAAGATGGAGGAAATCCCAGAGGATTCATCTATCCTTGACTTGATCCTAAGAAATAATAAAGATTTAATGGACAGTGTGAAGTAAGTCAACATTGCTATACTAAAAGCTTAGTGAAAATCTAAAAACAAAGGAAGATCACATAGTAAATGGAAATATAGCCAGGTCATCAAGGAAGAATACATCCAGGTAACAAACTCTGGAGGAGGTGTCAGGAAAACTAGTTTTGAATGAGATGTTTACAGCTCATATGTTGATTCAGTTTTGTCTGAGAAGATGTAAGTTCCACTAGTCAGCTGAAGAGCAGAATTCTATTTTGAGCTTGATAAAAATAGCCAGATGTTGCCTACTGCCCCGGAATGAGTTCAGATCTTCACGGCCAGATTATTTTCATCCTGTGCTACTGAAGGAACTAGAACTTGCTGTTGGGTTGACTGAAACTGTGTTCATTGTCTTTGAAAAATCCTGGAGTACCGCAAGTACCAGAAGACTGGAGGAAAGCAAACGCTGTCTTAAAGAAGGAAAAAATGGAAGATCCCCATAACACAGATCCCCATCTTATATTGATAGCTGGGAATATTCTAAATTATATTATCACATCATACAGTGGTACCTCAGTTCACGAACTTAATTCGTTCCGCGACTCTGGTCACGACCCGAATTGGTCGCGACCCGAATCAAATTTTCCTATCAGGTTCAATGTAAATACAGTTAATCCGTTCTGACCCCTCCGAATTTGGTCGCGACCCGATTTTTGGTTGCGTCCCGAATCAAATTTCCCCATAAGGTTCAATGTAATTATGGTTAATCCGTTCTGAACCATTTTTTTTTTTAAACCACAAAAATATGAAACAAAATACAGTACGAAGGGAGAGAACGCTAACCTTGCTCGATGCGACTTCTGG